CCTGTCGCCGCTCCCCTTACCGTGTCCCGACCCAGGCCGTCGTGTCGTGGGCTCTGCGGGGCACAGCGTGTCCAGCTGTCCTTCAGACCACCTCTGAGGCACTACGCAAAAGGGAGGATAGATAATTACTGTGGGCACCATAAAAATATTAATGCTATTAATAATTTAGTAAGCTCTGCCTTGCCGAGGATATTAGTGTGCATATATTATGCTAAGTTTCAGAATAATCAGTTTATAGGAAACAAGGGAAAAGAGCTGACAGGAGAAAACATGACTGGTCAAGATGAAAGTCAACCAGCTGACTCAATGGCACCAACCCCAAAACATTAATTACACCAAATGCTTTACCATCCTTTTTAATTTTCTCTAATACTAAAACTTTCTGATCTGGAAAGGAGTTCTTTCATATGTGCTCAGCGTCTCTGAAACCTGATTTAGCATAATGCCTCACTGTCTCAATGGAAAAAGACTGAGAGATATATTTTATATTTATAGAATTTTCTATTATGCCCTAAATTCTTATATGCCAAATTGAGTTCTTAGATCTTACTCATTTTTTTATACTACGGATTTTTATTAGTTCAGGCATTTTCATGACTGATCCAGCAGCCGTTAGTGCCAGTAAGAGTCCGTTGACTTTTTATGATTTGGAAGACAAACAGAATAGGAAAAGCAGAAGAAAATGATAGCGGGTGTTGTTTATGTGAATAAAGATTTGCTGGTGAGGTACACGTAAATCAGGGCTATTTTCCTGAGGAAAAGATTTCAGAATAACAGCCTGGAAACGAAGGAGGCCATTTCAGTTTTGACACTTGAGTCGGCCAATTACTATGCAGTCCTACAATTACTTTATTTCATATAGAGTGATTGCAACAATGACTTACAGTCAAAATACAGCCTAACCGGAGGTCCTTTTGTCACCCTGAAGTACCAGTTTGGGCCATCGTTTTGCAGTTCCAGGCCAGGCCACCCTTCACTGGCCTTTTCCCGTTCTCTCCTTTCTTTGCAAGTCCTTTTCAGCCAGGTCTTCAGATTCCCTCACACCCTGAACCAGGGACCAGGTTTCTCCTAGGTTTGGAACAAGTTCTGCAGTATAGTTTCTGGGAAGGATACTGATGATTGTTCATTAATTTCCACTTGACCTCTAGATTCTCAAAAAATGTTGTGCCTGCAAAGACAGGAGAAGCATATTTATCGGGGCTGAGGATTAACAGGTGATACGTGCATCACTTCTCAGTTAAAGGTTTAAAAAGAATAAAAGTAATACCTAAACGTTCAGTACATAAATACAGGCTGACTATGAGTATGAAGAATGGCTTGGACATTGGCCATTTTTTTAATATACTTGAAAATCTAGAATTACAGTCTCATAAAGCAACTAGGGTATTCTGATGAACTATTTTTCGCTATCCTTCCTGGGACTGACAGAACTTAGACAAATTTTAGGTAGTAATCACTTAAGAAAAGTGGCTAAGATTTTTTTTAACCAAGTGCATTTGTTCCCACTAAAGTTTACATCAAGACTGATGACAAAAAGTAATTACTATTCTTTTTATGTCTGACATTTAAAAATCTGTGCTTTTCTTATAAAAGGCTCCGAAATAGAAACACGTTATTTTTTGTCTTGTAAAATGTAACACGCAGTTGAAACTTGCTGTTCCTTCCAGTTATCTAGACATCAGTAACCCGGGAGTATAACATTTATGTAATACTTAAATAGTTTCCTCTCACAGTAACACCCACAGGGAGAAAGTGCCAGGAGATTAAATCATTTAACGAGTCCTGTCACATCAGCTTTGTGGGAGCAGGGATCTCATACCTGGTGGAAAAAGACGAGGCCACATCAGAAGAGCTGATGGGACCCCGAGAGGCCTGAAGGAGACCTTGGTGCCCTGCCTTGTCTCTGGAAGCTGCCTGTCTAGCAACTGTTTCTTGGCTTCATGGTGTGAGTTTACGTAGGTAGACTGCTTGTCCTCTAGATATCTTGCAAGCGTTTGGGGGTTTAATTTATCTTTTTTTTTTTTTTTTAAGAAAGGAATCTTTCTCAGACCACAGCATTTTATTTTTTCAACCAACTGACTTCTTTATAAGTGCCTGGAAAAAAACAGATTCCTCAAAGAGCTATTGATTCCGTTTAGCCAGAGCAGTAGCTTTCAAAACGTGATCAAGCACAAGATGTATGTGGGGGTTAGTGGGAGCACGAGAACCTCAGAAAAACCCCGTCCAGCCTTACCTCTTTTTCAAAGAGATAAGCAGATGAGAGAGGAGTGGGACTGGACCCAGTTTTGCCAGAGGTTTGGGAACAATGATTTTTGTTGAAAGAGACAGGTACAAATTATTACACTCAAGGATCCTGGGTGTGGACTTTAGGGGCAGATGCTTGGGAAAGCAAGAGTACGCAAAGCAAAGGAGGCAGGGGAGCAGGGCACAAGGTAAAAGAGAGGGTGTGAGCACAAAATAATGCAGAAAGGGACAACTCGGTATAAAAAGCTTGAGACCTCAGGAATCTCGCCCTGCGCTGCTTTCTTGACAAAGCTCGTTTCCCAACAGCCCTTTCACATCCATAGTCTACTCAAAACTGACTGTGAAAATTACAGAAACTCCATCTGCTGTTATGAAAAAAGGTTAAAGATGCTTGAGAGTCTTATTTCCTCACAAATTCCAGAAACTTTCTTCTGCGACCTTTAGAATCGGCAAGGTTTTACTTCAATTCTAGTAAAGCTGGCTTAAAAGCTGACCTTTTACTTCTTAGAAACATATTTTTCCTTTATTACCTTTTCATGTCAATTTTTAAAGGAAACTTGTCCTTTCCAGGACTCTATTTATATTTCTATGTGACTTTTTAGTATTAGGAATTCATTTTTAAAAGCAATGTTATTGTTAAAATCAGTGCTCATTCTTTTTTCTGCATTAGATTCGTAATGCATGTGAATCTGGCTTTTTAAATAGGTATTTTGATTTGCTCAGGACAGCTCTGTGACTAAGTATTAAGTAGTTGTTTGTGTCAAGGCTGAACTCTATAGTATTTATATTTCCTGCATGTTGCAAAGAGAGGGTTTTTATCAGACAGGGGAGTGCTTATGGGGATGAAAAAGGCCTATTTAGAAAATTTTGTTGTCTTAGGTACAAGAAATGTTCCTGCAGTAAAGCAAAATTTGTTACTGACCAAGGTTAATAAAAAAAAATTTCCCAGTCCGAAATAAAATTACAAAATAAACACACTTTAAAAAAAAAAATACCTCCTTTCTGGAATTGGTTTGTGATGTGTTAAATGGGAAACAGTACAGTTTCTTTCTTTTATTTATTTATTCATTTAGCGAGCTAAAACAAGGGTGTCCCCGAATTCCTCCCGGAAACACACTGGATCTGGGATCCTCCCGGACTGACTGGAATCGATCCCCGATGACAGCCTTCATCTCTCCTTCACAGCCCCTGGGCTCAGTGGAGAAGAGCAAACTCTGCCTGGACACCGGTGTTCCCGCTCCCTGTCGGCAAAGAGCTGCCCCCCTGCACCTCTGGAAAGGGAAACCGGTGGGGTTTGCCTGTGGGTCGGGTCGCTGCCGCCTGCTCTGCCCCCGCAGAACCACGCAGATGCTTTTGTCAGCCCAAGGTGGGCAAAGGGATGCGGGCCTGGCCGCGGGTGAGGGGAGTCAGAAGGAGGCACTGCAGCTTTTGGTGGCCTTTGCTGGCCTAGCACACGATGTAGGTGCTCTGTCAG